AATAATGTACAATTAAATTAAAAGGGATTAAGGGATGTTATACGTGCATGACAAGATACTTATTATTGCAAGTCCTTGAAGATTCTATCGGTCAAATGCACGAAATAAAGCTTACAATCATCATACAGGTCCTTAGCGATTCCATTATTGAAGGTGAATAAATGATTATAATCTTAGCTTGTTCCTCCAATAATATTATTTTTTACTAAATTGGAAAAGATAAAAGACCGGAACAATTGTCTTCATTTGATAAAGCATGAGATTTTAATTGCATACAATGATACAACAATTAATCATACAAAGCCGCAAATAATTGAAGGGATTTCTACCAAAAAGATGTTTGTCCTTAGCTCCCGTCATATCAATTGTGATTTGGTCAAAAATTTACATGTATCTTCCCTGCTAGCCTGCAATAATTAAGCTAGCCCAATTTTTTTATGCGGTTTTATAAAAATGCATGATTTAAATTAGGATTCGTTTGACATTACTGTGATTTTCTGTTTTTTGTTTTTTTGTTTTTCAAAAGTATATATAAAGGCTTATTAAAATCATTATAATTTTGAAAACTGATAACAGAAAAGTGGAACACCTTTTTCTTGTTTCCTGTTTTCGGTTTTTAGTTTTTTTTTTTTTTTTAAAAAATGAAAACAAAAAATTTTGCCAAACATATATTTAGTTAATGAATTAGTTTTTGTGAAAATACCTTAACTAAGGAGTGCAAATAATAAATTAAAAAATCATTATCCAAATGAATTAATTAATTGAATTTCAACATATGAACATCATCAATACTAATATATAATAGTATATTAATATATTAGCTAATAATTTAATGATTTATGAAAAATAATTACATATGTCTCTTTCTCCATCTTTTATATGCTATTGATTTCAATTTGAAATGATTTTGATTTAATAAATTAGTTGATTGATTATATTGAAATTAATACACCTCCATATTTATATATCACAAACTTATATATATATATATATATATATATATATATATATATATATATTAGGAATCTTGACCATGTATTTAATCCAACAATCAAATTTTATTTTTGTAAAATTATGCACATTTAGTCTAAAATATCTGCCGCATTTAGTTCGAAAATCATGTACATTTCATTTTTCAGTATTATATGTTTTTTTTAACCTGTTCTTCTCCTCCTCGACATCTCTCTTCTATAGATTCATATACATTCTTTTGTTCCTCTTTCTCTCTCCTAAAATTATGCACATTTGACTTAAAATTTATGCACATTTATTTCATCATTGTTTTTCCTCTTCGTTGTGTTGGATTCTTTCTCTCCTACATCAATGGTTATTCATAGTTCTAGTTGTACTTATAATTTTAGAAATGAGAAAGTAATAGTGGTCATGACTTACTTGTAAACCTAATAATAATATAGGGATTAATCAACTGACAATGTCATCTACAGAATGTTCAGCAAGCAATATGCATAGAATTGGAAAATTTTGCACATTTTGTACAAAAAATTTGCTTATCCAGCTCAATAAATATGCACAAATTAATTTAAGAACGTGCACAAATTTTATAAGAATAATGTCGATTTATACAATGTTTACTTTTACTTGATTCCACTTGGTTATCATTTTAGAGCATCTTCTAAACTCAAAAGAGAAAAAAAAAAATGGGGAAGATATATGAACAAGGAAGAGGGAAAAGTAGAGAATAGGGAAAATAGAAAGGGAAGTAGGAAAAAAAAAGATATTTACGTTTTTGCCATTAATGAAGGATGTATGAGAGCCATTAGATTTTTTTTTATTTGAATGTATGAGAATTTTTCTCTTTCTTCTCATTATAAGGTCATTCTCATTTGACCATTAATGAAGGATGTATGAGAGCCATTAGATCTTTTTATTTGAATGTATGAGATTCTTTCTCATTCTTCTCCTTATAAGGTCATTCTCATTTGACCCTAAATCTATATACTTCTTCCGCTACAAATTACTCGCAACAAAGGGATATTATTTGTGAGACATTAAATATTCCTTTGTTGCAATAATATGTAACAGAGGGAGTATATTTATTTATTGAAAGAATGTTCGAGGTTAGTTACTTGGTCAGGGTTACTCGGGCAGACACGGGTTAGTCACTCAATCAGGGGTTACTCACTCGGTTAGAGTTTACTCACTCGATTAGGGGTTACTCAGTCAGTCAAGGGTGGTTACTTGGTAATTAATGGATTTTTTCGATCGGTCAGGGTTACTCGGTTGGTCAGGGGTTATTCGGTCGATTAGGGGTTACTCAGTTAGGTATTACCAACTGGTCAAGAGTCAGGGGTTACTCGTGTGTTAGCTGGCCACACGATGTGACCAGCCACACACAAAAGTTGTCATTTGTATATTAGTAATCGGTTGTATTAATGGGCGTAAATTTAAACAACAATGTAATTTATTAATTTAAAATAATTGATTGTTATTTTTTATGTAATTTTTTTATATATAATTGATTGATATATTGTTTTTATTTGTTGACTGATTGAGTTTTTTCCATATTTTTTTTATCATATCATTCTACATTTAAATTTACATAATACAATTGCAAGCATATTCACATATGCTAAGGTAGGTGCATTTCGCAAAACATCTATAGTGGGACACTGGGGCTTTTAGGAAAAGTGGAAACAAGGGTGTAGGGTGGCCTGGGATGAGTAGGGGAAGGTAGAGGCGGGGCTAGGTAGGGAAGGTGGTGGCACCGGAGATGAGATTACTTTAGAAAATTTGTTAGCAACCCATCAAGGTTCGTTAAATGATGGTTTTTAAGGTAGAATTACTTTTGGATTAGTTAAAGGTGGGATTTTATTGGAACACTAGATTATTGTTTTTCATTTTTTTCATATGCAGAATATATTCATCATTAAGTGAGCCAAAAAAATGCTCTTAAGAGTTACAATGTTTTGTTGGGGTTAAGTATTGGCACAATAGCTGCCAACAGTATAAGATAAAAGAGTGGTGAATTTTATTTTTCTTCTTGTGGTACAAATATTGTACCGTTGTTACCAATAATAGATATAAATAGTACTACTAAAACAACTTAAACTTTAGTAGTATACAATACATACTCCGTATATAATAGTACATTAAAAAATACTACTATAAGTATAATGATACACTAGGTAAAAAAAAAAGTATAATGATACATTAAAAATACCACTATATCAATAAATAACAGTTATGCACATAGTTACGTACACTCTTTGATTGGAGATTTTGGAATAGAATTAGAGTTCATCCTATCCATCTTATGCAGAGTAACTCATTAACTTGTGTTGTACTCCCGCTGTCCCATAATACATGACACAGCCAAACACTCAAAAATAGCACATATGTCAGTGCAGTATTTTGACTTTATTTTTATATAATTGAATATCATTGAAAATTGTTTTAAAAATTATACTATGAAACTTTATATTAAAATGTATCTAACGACATATTTTATAATAAAATATATTTTTATTATATTAGTAAAAAGGAAAAATGTAATCTAATAATCCCACCTTTAGTTGGTCTCCCATAAGCAATCCCACCTTTTGAAATTCCAGAAACAATCCCACCTTTAATTTGACCCCATCTTCCATTAACAATCCCTTTTACCAACAACCTGTTAATTTTTTTAATATTTTTTTTCAAAATCTCTCCTTGGGCCACCCATCCACCACCATAACACGATCTTAAGCAACCCTGCCATGGCCACCCTCACCCCTACCCCAACCCACCACGAAACTCACCAGCAAAACCCCACCCAGCCTAAAATAAACCACCCAAGCCACGAAAAAACACCACCTAGCCTCGAAAACATCACTTAGCCCGAATCTAACATGAAGACCAACCAACCGCCCAACGTCACCACCAAGACCAGGAACACCACTCACACCGCCTTCACCACCAAGACCAGGCAACACCTCTCACATCGCCTTCACCACCAAGACCAGGCAACACCTCTCACACCGCCTTCACCACCACCAAGACCCCCGCAAAAACCCACCATCTTCAAGAAAATCACCCTTCACAAAAACCAGGCCACCACCTCCACAAAACCCACCTATACCACCCCCATGGAAACTCGGGCCTACAACCCCACGAAACCCAAGCACCACCCCGACGAGATCCCACCCCCACGAAAATCTCAAAACTCAAGCCCCAACCCTTTCGAAATCCCCACTCCCTAGTCGCCGATTTCTGGTTGCAATTGCCTAGATTGGGTATTCGAATTATATTATCATCAAACTCCGGGATTGTGCGAAATTGATGGTCGTGGGTAGGGTGTGCGATTGGTGGTGTTTTTGGGCATGAGGGTGGTGGTTTCATGGGTTGCTGGGGAATGCAATGGCAGGGATGAAAGAGGAGTACGTGCAGTGGTGGGGCTGGGCTAGTGCCGAGGCCAGGGGTTTTGTTTTGTTTTTTTTTTAATTAGATTTTTTTTTGAAAATTAGACTTAACCTATTAAAATCCGACATGTGTCTTATATAACCTAAGAAAGCCGGTTACCAAAACATTTCAACCGGTCAGGGATTATTAATGGACTGGGGTCAAAGGTGGGATTGTTTCTGAAATTTCAAAAGGTGGGATTGTTTCTGGAAGACTAACTAAAGGTGGGATTATTAGATTACATTTTTCCTAATAAAAATCATGGTCAAATCTAATACATAAATACTCCTCCGTTTTTAAATATTTGCTCTACTTTTCTTTTTTGGTCGTTTTTAAATACTTGTTCCATTTCCTTATTTGGAAAGCTTTTACAATATTTAACTCATTTCTCTCACCTGGTGGACCCAACAAATATTATATTATATTAATTTCATATTCTCTCTCCTCCAATTTCTCCATTGCTTTTGCTTTTTACAATTTTTTATTCTTTCACCAAACCCACTACCTCCATATTTTATTACTATCTCTAAATTTCCCTAAAACTCCGCGCATGAAGAAATAGAGTTACCGCGTAGTATTTAAAAACGGAAAGAGTAGTGAAAACACTAGTCAGAAATCTCTGGGGTGCAATTGTTGAAACCCTAAAAAGGTGAAGATAGAGAGATAAGAGTGATAAAAGAGCGAGTGAGAGATAGAATATTAACGACGATGAGAAGAACAATCGGTGGAATTCCAACTTCGGTGGCGTCATTGAGCAGGAGGCGGGCATTAGGATTAGCTTTAGCTCCAAAATTCATACAATTAGTATGTTGTTCATCTTTAGCACCAGAAAATTCCAGAAAACTGATTCTTTATTCAAAACCGGGCTGCTGTTTGTGTGATGGCCTCAAAGAGAAATTGTCGGCCGCCTTTTCTCTGTCCTCACCCACAGATCCCCTACACGATGTCGACTTACAGGTAATTCTTTCATTTCATCAATGGCGTTCTCATTTTCTTCTTAGGTTCATCTGACATTTTTTATAATTGAATTGATAGATAAGAGATATTACCACTAATCCAGAGTGGGAGAGGGCTTACCAGTACGAGATTCCTGTTTTGGCTAAGCTACTACCTGATGGTACCGAGGTCTGTATCTGCCATGTCTATTAATTCTCTCTCTCTTTTTTTTTTGTTTGATCTGTTGATTTATGCTGCAATTTATAGCTGTGTATTGCATTCAAACCTAAATGCAAATTACCTGACAAATTTCTAGAGGAATTTAAACAAATCATCCAACTTATCCAACAACAGATGCAATTAAGAATTTAATTGAGTTACAGCTGAGTAAAAATCTGATTGAGAGATTTTAATTTCAATTTGCTTAACAAAAGCACAAGTATCCTTCATTATTTGATTAAGGGAGAGTTTAATTGAAAAATAATTCATGTTTGTACTTCTACAGAACTAGAATAGTAGTACGAAACTTAGCGAATGACGAAATCTAACAGATTCTATGCTGACATTTTAGTTATTCTTACAGGTTTTCATTGAATTCATGAATTGTAACTTGTAAACTACGTTCAATGCTCTCAATAGTGGTTTCTAAGTTTATGTTGCTTCTATAAAAATATGTCTATAAACAGTATTATTGGCATTCGATGGGCTTTGGGGTATAACGGGTATAAGGGATGAAGGTTGGGTATAGATGACATCCATTATCATTCTCCATAAACCATGGTCATTATTGTTTTGGCACTTAAGTCCCCTTTCTAGTCCTCATTGTGCTTTGATACTCCTAATCCTAGCCACATGCACTATTGCGAGGGCCAAAAAGTATTTGGCACTTCATCAAGTAAAAATGATTAGCTGGGGCAATTTTGGTAAACCTGAGATTGCTAGTAGAGTTGTGGAGTAAGAAGTAAGAATAGGAAGGCTAATGAGCTTATGTAGTAAATAGGGAGAGGTACTATCTTCTTATTCTTCTTACCTCAATGGAGTACTTGTTATTTATTCCAATTTTGAAATTTCTTATTACTTAAGACCATTATAGTTTTATTATATGGAAAATACTTCCTCCGTTTCCCTAACATTGCAAGTTTGCAACATCAGAATGGGATATGGTTTTAAAAAGAGGAGGGAGATAACGAGGATTAAAGATAGAAACACGTGATGAGAGAGAGAAAGAGAGAAAACATGTACACATACGAAAATGCTGCAATATTTGTGAAACTTTTTAAAATGGTGATCATTACAATATAGTTCATATAAGATGAATTGAACAATTCCCCATTTAATAATGTGTTCTCTTATACTGTGGTGTACTATTTCATTCATTTCAGACTAGACACTTTATTATAGGCGATGAAAACTTATCCATAAAAGCTTAAAAATGTTGAAAGCCTCCTTCTATTCATCTAATGTCTGCATTACCTCACATGGTGCTTACATGAAAAAATACTAGCAATGGATTTTAACCCTTCTCTTACATCTTGTATAGGTAGTTGCTTGCACAATCACCTCTGTGAACACTTCTGTTGCATACTTGCACTCAAAAGAAAATATCACTTTCAAGCGTTTCATATGTCCACTCATAATCTTTCTCTTAGGACAAATGTGCTTCTTTTAGCTAGTTGTACCAGTGTGCAGTTGCAGGCATTGTCCAACTTATTTTCTTTGTGAAATTTACTATAAAATATTGGGTTGATTCATTGCAGAATAAGAGAGATTAAGTGAGATAATTGAGGCTTTGTGCTTGAGAGAGGTTTAATTTCGATGAAATTGTGGAATTTATAAGTTTGGATTTAGGTTGTGGCAGTAATACAATTAATCGATATTTTAGGATAATCAATCTTTCTCTCTTTGTGGATGAACGGAATAATCATTTTTGGTTCATGTAGCCAACCCCACTTATGGGATTAAGGCTTTGATGGATTGATTGGGATTTTGGGAGGAGTTTGAAACAAGATTAAACAAAAAAAGTTCTTTTTTCCCAAGTAAATTGCCAAATTGATGAGACTGTGGGAAAGATTAATGGTGTGTTAAATGGAGAGAATTTCCAAAGTTAAGAAGACTTAGTTACCAAAGTTAATTACATAATTAAACTGATGTGCTGCCAGCTTGAACATATTATAAAGAGGAAAAATGAGCCCCTACCATTGTAAGATGTTCATTAGGCTATATACTGTGTAAACATTTGAAAGACGTAGTCATTTAATGATATTTAGTTCTTTTGCTTGAATTGTTTTCAAGGGTTCTTAAGGAATACTTAAAATTCTTGAACCCTTAACATGATTGGCTTCTTTGTTCCATGTTGGCAATGTCACAATATTTGTCAATGGGAGCTGAATCTTCTACTCCCTCTGGTTTTAGGTAAGTGCCTTACTTTGACTGTGTTCATTGTACTTATACTTCGTACTAACTCTGAATTCTTTTTTTTTCAATTATAAAATAAAAAATTACTACTCTCGTTTCGCAATAGGTGCACTGGTTTGACTTGTCTTACTTTTCAACACTACTTTGACCATTAATTTTTGTATACATTAATTAATAAAATAATGAACAAAAATCATAATTTTGAAAACGTACATTGAGACCAATCCAACATTATTTTACATATCAATTCTTAATTTTATATACATGTAAAAAATGTGGTCAATGTATATAAATGAATGTTGCAAAAAGTCAAAGCTTACATTAGTTATAAACAAAAGTTGTATTATGTATACAATTAAGTATCATCATTAGATCAACTCTTTATAATTTTTATAAATATACATTTAAGTATATTAATTGTGTAAGTTATCAGTTATGTGTTAAATCTTATACATGCCCAATTGAACTTTGGCATCCCATATCCCATGTTTCCCCATATCATCCCTTGGGAATTAATTGGATCTTGATGTAGAGGATATTTGGTAGGGGTGAGCATGGGACAGGTACCCGTACCGTTAGTACTAACGATTCGGGTACCCGATAACCAATATCACTAAAAGTGATATCCATAACCCGAACCGATAAGTTCGGGTACCCGGACTTCGGGTACCCGAATTTTCGGAACGGTTATCGGGTACCCTATAAAGTATCCAATAGTGATAAATAAACTTAAAAAATTAGTTATTATGATATTTTTTAACACTAATTAACAACAATACCACATGATCTTGACCAAATTATTAATAACATTACTAATTATTAATATTTATAGTGATTATGAAGTAATGTAAGAGTTTAAATATTGAAAAAATAGATTTAAGTAGGAAAAAAAACAAAATAATTGCTTATCGAAACGGAACGGGTACCCGTTAATTTTAAAATGATACCCAAAAATCATACCCGATAACAAATTATCGGAACGGGTACCCGAACCGTTATGGTTATCGGATCGGGTACCCTAATTTTCGGAACGGTAACGGAACAGGTTTTCGGGTAGTTTTGCTCAGCCCTAATATTTGGTATGCACACCTATGCAATCGTTTCCTTCATACTACCACACATCTCTTGTACGTGCTAGGTGCATGATTTTACATCTTCATCATCATCTCTTTTGCTTTTCCTATAGTTGTTCACCTCTTTCGGTGATCTTTCGAGTAAATCAACAGCAGAATTTTGGGAATTTTATGTCATTACCCTGATCTCGTTCAGCTCTGTCATTGCCATTTCTTGATTGGCTCTTTTTCCAACTTATCATCATTTAGCTTGGGCATTTTGGAAGTCCAATAAATATATATCTTACCTACATCATTAGACTTAATAATTTAAAATAGGAAATTTTATTGAATTTGTTATTCTCTAATGTACATTTATGTGAACCTATAATACTTAATTGATATATATAAACTTCAATGTGGGGTTTTGTTAGATTCGTCTCGTTTTTTTGTTTCTAAATCTATATTTCTTACTACGTATATTTTTTTCTAATGTGTACTTAGAGATATGTTGTTACAATATTGCATTGAAATGTTGTATATAAAAGAAAACGGAGTGAGTGTTGTTTATTTGTTCTTGGCTTTTCAAAGGTTGATACCCCAACAACAATTTAATTAGGCAGTCATTCTAAAGAGGAATGAAGGATCAGTAATGCTGGCTGGCTTCCCCTTTCCTTTCAAGGCTTCTCTTAATCCTTTGACTCACTGTGTTGTATGGAGTACAAACACCCCCCCCCCCTCTCTCTTTCTCTCTTTGATTCTTAGAATCTCCTCATCTTTGTCATATTGGTCTTATTGTTGGAATGTTGGTACTTGGTACTAATTATATTTAATATTGTCATTATTTTTACTGGTGCAGTATTCTTTTAAGAGTTCCTAAATATTCTTGTAAGACAATGTTTTTTTTCCCTAATGCAGGTAACACTACCTAGATTATCTCCCCGACTTGGTGTAGAGGTCATTCAACGGAAAATAGGAGAAGCGTTTAGGCATTAACAATGTTTTGGATGCTTGACATTTAGATGCTTATGCTTTTAAAGCACCATTTATCTATTTTAACAAGTATCTGTGGTTTTTTTGGGGGGTATAATTTTTGTAAGCTTTGTATCAAACTCCTCAGTAAGAAGCTTTGTCTGCTTTACAGCTTGCTTTGTTGCTCGGTATATGCTCATCAATTTGATCCACTTCATTAATAAGCAGTTCTATTGTCTTAGTAAGTGTTTTTTTTTTTTTTTTCAAAAAAAATTACTTCGTATTTGTTATTCCGATTTCACTTCATTGAGTAAGAAGGGAGAGAGCAAGTATGCACTGTAGAGTAAGCGAGAGAAGAAAGCACTAGTGAAGGATTTGGCATTAATAACTCAACTTTGGGAATTTGGCCTCGGCAACATAAGGTATGTAAAACGTGCCTTTAATTTTTTTGTATTAGTATAAAATATGTTGATTTCATCATATCAATGCTAATTGCTCAATTTTGTATTAGTAAGATTGGAGTTCAGATTAAAAATTTGATTTGAAATCGGTTATTTTTTTTAATCTATCATGGTTATTGGGGTTAACTTTGCATAACATTACAAAGAATGCTCATAATGAGGGTCTCTAAGCTCTATGAAAGCTAAACTTGTTCATTGAACTAGTGGGATTTTATTTTATTTTTATATAATTGTATTTTATTTTATTTTTTGTTAAGAAGGGTATGCATTATATTTAGACATAACTTGTGTAATTGCAGGGGGCAAAACACGTAAGCCGACCACCTGACTTTCCCTATCTTGCTCAAAGTGGGAACTTTTTCAAAAGCTTTAGTGTAATGCTGAGGTTATTATCCTTTCAAATGATCAAATATCGTTGCATAAGTAAAATTGTGGCATGATTTTACTAAAAGACTTTATAATTTTTGGGTCATTTTTTTTTATGATTCCGTCAAGGCCTTCAATCCTGGTAACTCAATAAAAATCTTGTTAGAAGAAATGTGACATGTCAAAAGTTTGTTAAGATGGGAGGGAAAGTGCAGTTAATCGGGGTAAAGCTAGAGGGAGAAACTCATTCAATAATTGTCATGTCAAAGCTTTTTCATTCGGAGTGGTCTAATGCATTTTAGTGCTTAAGGTTTGTACACCTCTTCAACATGATGAAAAATTGGTGCATAATTAAAAAGAAGTTGGCCCTATGTTTGAAACTTTATAGAACTTAATTGTGTTCAATTCGCATCAATTCGCATCTGCTGGCCTTTTCATCATGCAGTGTAGGATGTTTCAAAGTTGGATTTCTTGTGAGGTTGTATATTTGTTGATGAAAAGTTCTGCAGTAACTCACATGATGAGAGTCCAATGCTGAAGGAGGTTAAGATTTTTGAGAAGCCTGTTGTGCTAATTGCTAGTTTTGATGTTAATGCTCCCCGCGTATGGGCCTAGAGGCGATAAATAATTGCAGCATATGATAAGAAAGGCGCAATTGCTGTAGATGGAATGGGAAGCAATCCTAGTCTGGGTTTGGGTTTGGGTTTGTAGAACCTAGGGATTGAGTAGATCCTGTGTTCTCATGCAATCATGCTACAAGTGTCATACTGTGTATAAAGACTATGGCCCTGTTTGGGGGAAAGCTAAAAGCTGAAACTGATTGAGTTAGTTGATTTTATTAACTGATTAGACTAACTTATTGTATTAACTGATTATATAAAAGTGTTTGATAAATAGCTGATAGCTTAAGGTGATTGAGTATGTGAAATGACCAATAAGCTAATTGTGGGGTAGGTAGTTTAGATAGGATTTTAAATTAAATGAGGCTATAAGTGTCATTTCACAATAATTAATGAATAAGCTAATTGAAAAAGCTCCTAAAATGAGTTTTTTCAAAAATAGCTTATTTAGTGGAATAAGCTTGTTTGACTAATCAATCAGCTAAAGTTAGTCAAATAAGCTAATATACCCCCAATAAGCTTACTACCAAACAGGGCCTACAAATAAGGAGCTTGAGCTTTTAGTTTATTTGGTTGAATGAACTGAAACTCGAAATTGTTGCTAGTTGCAGACTAGGCCAGTGAAGACTTTGTTGAGATTGTGAAGAAGAGAGGCCAATCCTAATTATTTCTGGGCACTGCTGCACTGGTCAGAGAAGTGTTGCCAGCTAAATTGCACATGGGAATGATGAAAGATATCCCAATCACATCCGTAAGTTTCCAGCCCAGGTAAAGAAATGTGAAGGGAATATTAATTTTGGGAAAATATATAACTGTAAGAGAATGGCTAGGAGCAAAACGAGAACTACAGTATTTAGGTCATGTTTAGAATACTGTAAGTGGAGAAGGAAATAAATGTGAGACGAAAAACAAGTTTCTACTTTCTAGGTAAACAATGTGTATGATGCTCAATTATCCCCCCCAACCCCCTCCTCAACAAGAACTACAGTATTCAGTAGGTCATGTTTAGAATACTGTTTCAATTCAATCTCTTCACTGATTGAAAGTATTTATTTCCCACATTTGTTTCCCACATTTGTTTAACGTAGATTGTAGAACAAAGTGAGGAAGTTAGACCCATTGAAATTCTACAATTTAGCATCTGGTGCTATCTACTGCCAACTCTCTGCTAATGTATCTATTTTCTGCAATTTACAGTAATCTACATGCAGAAGATTTTCAGGCCTTCAGCCTTCACAATTTTACTCTTTTTTTTTTTTTTTTTTTTTTTTTTTTTTTTGAAATACACTTCTAAATTTTACTTTTTACAATTTGTTTTGAGACCTCTCCACAAATTATGCAACCCAAGTCTTATACTTCTATGTAGTATTTTAATATAAATTTATTTATGTGATTAGAATGTCTAATTTTTCCAAGAGATTTATTTTCTTTTCATATTTTACTAATGTTTGATTTGGAACCTCCTATTGACAGTTGACGTAACAAGCTTAATAAGAGGAAGACTTGCGACAATTTAGTATAGTAATTTTTTTGGGTATATTTGTTTTCAGATTAGATATTATCTCTACATGATGTTACTACTTAGATGGCTATCAAGTATCTATTACCTCCATTTCATATTATTTGCAACAATTTGACGTAAAGTAGAGAGAAAAATGTTTAATTGTTGCAAATAATATGAAACAGAGGTAGTATATTGAATGGACGAGCAAACGCATATCAGAGGCAATTTGGTAACTCTGTGCTTAGTGTTTTTTTATTTATTTATTTATTTATTTTATTTTTTTTGGGACGTGGTGCTTAGGGCTGTTGAGAAAGCATTATTATGATGAAGAGCAGATGTATGCAAAATCAAAAGTGAAGGGGCATTCAAGGAGGACAGTGATGATTTATAGTTTTGCTGCCATGGTTCTCAATGGTGCTTCTTCCAGTTGGTTTACTATGTGGCTAATATATGATGAAGTGCATTTTTTAGCTAAATCTTATTAAGTTTTCTCATTTGAAGAGAGCAGGTAATGTAGTAGCTCACCATGTTGCACAGCGGAATACTAATAGTTGCTCTAAAAGAGTGTGTATGGCTTGTTTTCTCTAGGTCTTTTAACCTTAACCGAATTCCTTGATCTTATTTGATTAATATAATGCTCTATAAAAAATAAAAAAATTTATCAACAAGCTTTGCTTTATTCTTTTTAATTGGTAAGATACGAAGGATGCCCCAAAAGGGGGGAGGGTGAGGATTGAACCCCCATCACTCGGGGGAAGATGGAGGGACTAATCATCTCAAGCTTTGCTTTATGTGCCTTAGAGAAACCATTTAATCCTTTTTGTTCCCCGCTTTTTGCACATTTTTTATGCACACATTTAAAAATAAACCTATGCAATTGCAGATGATCATATATTTGTGATGCAAAGTATAATAGGAGCAAAGATCAATTGATAGTTTCTTTAGAAGAAATGAGAATTGAATCACGACAGTGGAAGCACATACTAAAAATAGGTTTTTCCAATTAAATTTAGGGAAGTGATACATATAAGAAAGAGCTCAACAAAACCCATAATCCCCGTGTGTGAAGGGGGAGGAGTCTAATCATTCTATGCTAAATAAATTTCTGCTGGGGCAAAACTAAAAAATCTATCAACTCTAGTTCTCCTTTGAAGAATGAAGAACCTTCCCCTTAACTTAATTTTATCAGACTCAGAAATGATAACTATATAAGTTTCCTCTTCTGAAAGTAGCGCTTCAGATGCCACACCTGAAAAAGTGAAGCCACAATACCCACGCTGAGGGACATAATACTCAACCAGGCAACTCTAGCGTTGGTTTTTTCACTCACTTCCCTCATTTCTGCCTCCCTGTGCAAATTCATTCAACAATACAATGTATCAGCTTCAGTTTTTACATTGTTGTATCAAAAAATTTCACAACAATGAACAATCTTGGCGCAACATGAATAGATACCAGTCTTTATTAAAAAAAAAAAAAAAAAAAAAAAAAAAAAAAAAAAAAAAAAAAAAAAAAAAAAAAAAACCAGGCCTATCACATTAGACAGCAAGCTATTAATTTAACAGCAGCAGACTTCACTAAACTATTAGGATTAATCCATGTTGTACCCGCATTAAAGCATAACTGTACGGTGGAAAGTTAACAATAAGAACAAGACTAGTGAATTCAATTAGTAAGCTAACGAAGACTGAATCACTGAAGAGCATATGAGGATATAAGTGGGTGCAGATGGATGTGGAAACTGGAAAGTGGGTGTGGAAGTACCTGTTCTTCAGATAGAGTAAATTCTGATGAATAGATTCGACTGCAGATTCAAGTTTCCGAAACTCAAGTTCAACACCCTAAATAGAGAATGAAATAATAGAGGTATTAGTTAGTGTTGAACGAGAACCTCTGTTAATTTTTAGTTGCAATTGTGAGACATAAAAAAATTCCTTCGTTGCAACTAAAAATTAATGGAGGTAGTAGAATAGGGAGAGGTGGAAGAGTAATTGCCTCAATATGCTCCTGTTTGGCAACAGAATCCCAATCTTTGGCAGCAATCCCGATTTTCCAGTCAAGATTGAGAGTAGCAGATTGATGATTACCATCAACCCAGAAACAGGCAACATAATTACCAATCTCAGTAGTCGTAAAAGCAAACTGACCATGAGTCACATTTTCTTTGTGGTACAGATTGTTGCCGTAAGGAGATGTCACCTGTTTTGCAATTTACATCCGTAAAAAACCATACAACTGAAATTAAAATCCAAGAATAAAAAGAAAGAAAGAGACCTTAGCCGAAACAGTGGGAGACGCGTGACCTTGTTCATCGATAATAACATAATCAGCAACGACAACAACATTATTCAGGATCTCCTCAGAAACGCACTTAGTTCCTGTACTTGGTAGATTCAGCCATATTCCCTCCGTAAATCGGCTACTCATCAGCAGCATCATCAAGCTCATGATTATTACGCACCTACCCATCTCTCTCTCTTTTATCTCTGTAATATAATCTGACTACTAAATTATTGATAGACTTCCAGAAAATTGATTGAAAACCTTCTCTGTTTTCCCACGCTCCCTGAAGCTGCGCGTTTCATATCTCGTCTTCTTTATATCAAACACGCACTATCATCCTCCGTGGCGTATCTTTCTCCAATTATACCTTGCCACGACTCACTTGCCACGTCTACGTGGCCGCTAAAACACTTTTTTTTTTTTTTTTTTTTTTTTTTAAGAAACTAAGTCCTACCACTTTGACTCTTCAAAACCCTCTCTACGACTCTACCCCTAGAAGAACTCGGTTGACTATTTTAAGATTAAGGAGCAAGATTTCTTTCAAAAATAGTGTTTTTTTTTTTTCCTTTTCTTTTTTCACTGTAAAGAGAGTTGCATGAATGACTCCGTCCAAGAGATTCAAGTTAAGTTATAAGCCGTATCACCCTTAAAAATTTTAACTAATTAAAATATCGGATACTACAACTCTCGTTACTGTAATAGTGTAACACAGACTTATTATATAAGTGGGGTATAAAAAAAAAAGTCGAAAAGGTAAGAGAGAGATTGTGAAGGGGTTCCTAGGTATAATGTAGACAAAGAAAAACAAAAGCTAATTAATAGTTTAACACTATGAGGGTATTGGATAAGAAATTAATAGGTAGAAACAATAAAATAAATTGCATATTACTTCATTACATAGTACTTGCAACTTTGAGTAATATTTGTGAGACATAAAAAAATACAAAGTTGCAACAAATATGTAACAGAGGAAGTAATTAAATCGAACGATACGTTGACACGTGATTTTAACGTGTATTCCCATATTAATACCACTTCAGGAATATTTTAAATACTTATTAAATGTCCCAAAGACATTCGTTAGTAAGATCCTTAAACTTATTACTCCATCCGTCCCAATATTGATTTGCATTATTGCATAAAATCATCAAATTATCTTAAGGCACATTGTACATTCATATGAATTATTTAAGTGTGGTAATTCATCCCAAGTGCATTAGATTACAAATTTAATACCATTATTGCTCCCTTTTTTTTTTTTTTTGTGAACGGTATTGCTCCCTTGCTTTTATAAATTACTTTAAGTGCATTTTTTGATTGATGATTTATTATTAGACCAAATAATTATGAGCACAATGTAAAAAAAAATGGAACATTTTTTCCAAAGTATTGACAATTCCGTGCAGTATGATTGAAATAGGAACTTTTAATTCATATAATTTGAAAAAAAAAAAAAAATGGTATGCATTGTTTCACAGTACAAATTGAACAAAATAGTACAGTATTCATTGTTTCACACAATTTGTATGAAATAGTGCATAGTATACCATCACATTTATATGAAGCCATATGATGGACTGAATCAATTCCTAATTTCTTGTGCAATTTTTTTTTTCCCTTTATATTATGTTTGGTAAATTTAATTTTAGGGATGTTGATTAAATTTCATTAATCAATCAAGTAATAACAATAAAGGAGAGAAACATGAAAAGGAGAAGGAGTAATATTGGGTTTTTGAGAGGGATGTGTTAAGTAAAGAGATGTTAGGCTTATCAATCATGAAAAACAAAAGTTAGAATTAGAAAGAAATAGAAGATAATTAATACTTCCTCAGTTTCTTTTAAGTTGACACGTTTCTTTAGTCACGTTTGCCAATGCACTAATTCAACCATCCTTAGTTTCTTTTTAGTTGATACGTTTCTTTAGTCACGTTTGCCAATGCACTAATTCAACCATTAATATCTTTAATTTACGATAAGCAAAAATTATAAAAAGTTGATATTTAGAAAATATTTATCATGACAATTCTAAGTAGACCTCACATCACAATCACAAAACACGTTCAAAGAGAACTAGAGAATTGTGTGAATACTGAATAGTGCTAAAGTCAAAACGTATCAAGTGTCAACTAATAAAAAACGAAGGTAGTACTAAACAAAACACATTAATATATTTCTTTTACCTTATTCATTATTTTCTACCAAATGTAAGGCTATATTTCTATGGCGAACCTGATCTCAGCTCAAATGGTCAGCTTGATGTTGCTTAAAGGATGTCACAAATTTGAGCCTCACTTAATGCAAAAACTTCAGGTGCAAAGCCTTTTCAATAAAGACCTTTTTCTGCCCCATTTCTCATTTTTTTTATTGAAAGAGGATAAGCGCTATCTATTGAGTAAAGGGAGGGTTTGCTACAGTGATTCGGTCGGTTCCGGTTCGCCTGCTCTCCTCATAGTCCATTAGTGGGTAGGGTGGTAAACTTAGAGGGCGCCCGCCTCCTCTTCAGACGAGCCTGGTGGTTGTTCGGTTTTCGCTTTTTGGGGCGGGAGTACTTGGTCGTTGGGGTTTCCTTTTCTTCAACCAATTCGGTTGTGTCAGCTCTGAGATTGGTCTAACATTTTCTTATGAGCTGGCTGGACAAAGATGGATTGAAAGTAAGATAGATTCATTTGAGTTCAAGTTAGAGTAAATATTAATAAAAAATAAGATTTTTTTCTTTCTCTTGTTTCTGACAAGTTGTAAATTAGATTATAGTAAATATTCTTTGTTTTTAGAATTTATAATGAAAAGAGTTGGGAAGAAGTTGTTTGTTGGGACACTGACTCGCCAAAACCTAGTGTGCAACTCGGGTCGGATCCGGATGTGTTTGGTGAACCGGGTGGGGCGAGGCATACTAAAAACAAAAAAAGAATTTGATCATGCCTTTTAAGAGTCATGGTAGCCTCATGGATCCTACATTTATAAGGTTACCTAGTCTAATAACCACCCTATTTATAACCTAGAGGTGATCAACTATGGCTCACTAGCCCGAACCAAAAGAGTGCGGGTTTTGGCAAGCCTAAAAATACATGTGTAGTTAAAACTCGAACCCAACTCAAAAAACCCTAAAGTCCAGTTTGGCCCAATAAGTGCACCACTTTCTTTTACGGGTTTGAGCATGAGATTTGATGCTAAGACTTGCCTCGATCCAACCGGAGTTGATCACCTCTAAATTAACCCATGCAAGTTTGAGCCATGTCTAAGTGTTTAACTCTCTATCACTTGAGTTTACTCAATCAAATGCCTTATCTAAGCTACATGAATACATATAACTTTCCTAAGAAATTACCTTTTCCCAATTCTAAACAATCAACATCATTCCATTGAAGCCTTTTTTGCTCCCACACCTATAACATGCTTTCATAGTTCATACATCTCCATCCATCTAAATGATTGCCTGAACTATATTTGATCTTAAGCTAACCAACAAATGCTTGAATCAACTGGTAGGAGAGTTGTTCTAACTTAACTAAGGTTTTGGACTTTAAACTTGGAAAAACATGTTGGGAGAGCTTTCCCATAAATGGGGCCTGACCAATTCGAATCTAGAGTCGAGTCTCATGAGCTCTAGATTATTTGTATACTTGCATAATGAACCTAAGCTTGAGCTACTCTTTTTTGTAGGTAAAAATAAATAGTCTCAGAAGCTCTTATTACTTGTATACTTTCATAATGAACCTAAGCTAGAGCTACTCTATTTTGTAGGTAAAATTAAATACGAAGTATGGTACTTCATACGTCTCTCACCTTAGAAATGATGATGCTTTTGGAGTTATTGATAGACAAGAAAGTTTTTACTGCTTTAACAACTAGAGAAGGAGAGAAATGAGGCTTCGATATGCTAAGAACTTCAATTGATATACAAAAATTTAAATATGAAGAGTAGAATAGTTTTAAAAAATAAGCCAATAAATATTATCAAAATGATAATGGGCAACCCACTTATAAATCAAAATAACTCCACGATAATTCATCAGCTTACACATTTTCTTTAGAACCCAGAGTTCTAAGTATAGGCATCTCCCTTACAAAATCAGGGGAGAAAACAAAAATAGGAATATAGTGTGTTTCTTATACAATCATAATAAACCTCCAAATCCTATCATATATTACCTCAATAAAAATATGCCTGATATTCTTGGTTAGCTATAAAACATCTAGGCATCAACCTGAAAAGAATCAATAAAAATAAATCTATCATTACAGTGTATGACTAAATGTATACAAAAGCAGGGAAATGACCAGTAAACAATGAAAGTGGAATCACTCATATTCTTATGATATACTTGGCAATTCTTAATTTTTAAAAAAGCTCATGGACAAATTTTTTAAAGTTGATAGAATTACCTTCTCGAATATAGCTTTAACTTCCTCAAAAACAACATCTATTGGCTTTGCTGCATCAATCTACAAGATAGTGAAGAGTTCAATGGGTTAGATTAAACAAGCCAGGGAGCGAGTGAAGACGAAAGAAGAAGAAGAAAAGAAAAGAAAAAAAAAAAAACTTGTTAATTTGACATGGAAAACAGAAATTACCCTTCTAACTTTTCCAAGATTGCCATAGTACTGAATTACCGGGAGACTGGATTCCATGTATACCTTGAAACGCTTCCTTATAGTTTCAATATTATCATCTTCTCTTCCCTTGATACCAATTAATAGGTAATGATAAAGCAATTGGAAAACAGGTCAATAAGGAAAGAGATGAAAAATAGATGAGCTAAAAAATCGAAGAGGCCATGTTTCTCCAACCTGGTTTCTGTTAAGCAGGCGCTTCTCCATCTCCTCCTCTGAACAATCAAAAAACAAAACAATTTCTGGCACTATTCCTGTCTGTAAAAACACAAATTAGAAAATAGATTCAAAATACATAAAAACTAAGAGTACAGAAAATAACTATTACTGAGAAGCCTTACAATAGATTCAAAGGATGCGCGATTCTCCTCATTGCGAGGAAAACCATCAATCAGAAATTTTTCATTGCCACTTTCCTGAATAGCTTTCTGAAGAAGCTTAATAGTCACCTCAGCTGGCACAATCTTTCCCTCCTTGATCATGTTCTGGATCATGGTACTAGAAAACCAAACAGTGATATGCTACTTAGGTCAATCACAACTTTGATAAAAGCTTAGAAGCCAATATGATAACAAATTTGATCTCACTCACAGAACCAGATTAGATCTCAATGCTAAAAAAAAAACAATTTTAAAAGACAAAAAGAATACCCATTCTCAGAACCAGATTTGATTTCCGCTCGTAAAAGGTCGCCAGCACTTAAATGAGTGTACCCGAAATTTTGGACGATATTAGTGCACTGGGTGCCTTTGCCACTGCCAGGGCCACCTGCTCATGTAAAATCCTAACTAATTAGATGATCTTTCAACAATACAACTACGTTATGCAATTCAAAAGATATTGTAGTATGGAAGCGAGACAAGTTACCCAATACAAAAATGACGGTAACCTTCTTTCCAGATTCCTGCAACATCCAGAATTCATTCATCATTATACTTAAAATGGAGACAAACACACACCTTTAATTCAATTTTCATATTGTTATTACCGTGTTTGTAGTGTCGGTAACAGATCCCATGTTTGCAGTATCGGTAACAGATCCCATGGTTTTGATAATTTACTGCACCAATAACAAAACATTAGATCTCAGGCCTATCAAAAAGTTTTTTATGAAAATAAATTTAAATCAATCAAACAAGATTTAACACAATTCTCCCTAGTAATGCCAGAAATTCAGTCGATTTCAGCATTTGATTTATACTAATTGGGATCCAAAAAATCAACATAAAGTCATTTCCTTTTCAAATTCTCGTTAACAATTATAATGAATGATCAGATCAGATCTCTAATGTAGAGCAACTTGATTTTGAAATTTCTGGAAAACAAAACAAACTTAATGCGATCGTTTTATAGATCTAATTTATACACAAGCAGAAACTGGCATCAACAAGATCAGATCCAAAGTAAAAGAACATCAATTTATTCAGAAATTGACATTTACCAGTACCTAAAATTGGGCTGATTAAGAAAAATTGCTGATAAATCGTAAGAGGAATGAGAGAGAAGCAAAATGCAGGGGAGTTTACCAGCGAATTGAATTCAGGCCTGCCGGCGGCAATTGAATCCAAGGATCTGCTTATCTATTTTTTGTTATTTAAATCACGGTATTGTTGATGATGTAGAGGAATTTATTTGTTTATATATATATATATATAGGGGCTTTTAAAAAATAAAAAATTAAAAACATTGCTTATAATACCCGCTGATTTGTAACGTTCATAACTGCTTTTCTTTCTTCGTAAACCAGCAAAGTCTCATGTAACCATTTTAATTTAATTTAGTGTAGGGTCTTGTATGGACTCGGTCTACACTAAATTATTGTAGACCCAAAATTTGACACTTTTAAATGATATAATCACATTTTTAGATGATATAATTACCTTTTTGTGAGTCGTATTTTGAATTATACAATCTCACAGTAAATCATTTAATGAGATTATATCACTAGTAGAAAAAACATTATGGGAAGCGGTTCAAAATCCCAAATGGGAAGCGGTTTTGAACCGCATGGGTTTAGGGGGCTTCCCAATTTCCATGTAAATGGCAAGCGGTTCAGAACCGCTTCTCATTTGGGGGGAATGGCAAGCGGTTTGGCGCCAAAACCGCTTCCCATTTGTATTTTTTTTTATTTTATTTTAATATATATAATAGTTAATAATAATAATATTATTAGTGACCTGTTTTGATATGCACATTAATCCAGTTTTTTAAAAATTATTATTATTAATAATATTATTATTAATTAATATTAATAATTAATAATAATTAATTAAAAATATTACAAATTTTGGAATAATAATAATTCAATAACAATAAAATGCATAATAATAATAACATATATAAAACTCATAAATAATGTATAGTACTAATTACAAATAAGTAATATAATGTACATATGGATTTACTACTAAAAATAAAAAAGATATGGTAACTAAATATTAATTGTTCATAAAAAAAAAAAAAAAAAAAAAAAAAAAAAAACTCAATCTAATTCATTATCTAACTAACACATATTTATTATATATTCTACCTAGATGCTATCAAATGTCACAAAAAAAGCCCACATGTCGCGAATTTCATCAACTTCTTCCTTTGTCAAAGGGCCTTCCCTTTGAATCTTACAAACCTTTGAAAAGAAAAAAATACCAAACATTAAACATCATTCATATATTACATAAAATTCAAACTAATAATTAAAAAATAAAAATAATATATATATGTTAAATATTTCAAACATCATTCTAACTTGCCCGATTTAGCATTCAACGAACTAAGTTTTAGGACGGCTTTTACCAATTTTCCCGTTTTCTACATTTCTTATCTAATGAGCTATTTATCTATCATAACATGTCAATTACAACTAGTCTTAGGTGTCTAATGTTTGAAATCATAGCAAATTAGCATTCTTCTAATTTTTAGTACGGCTTTTACCAAAAATCGCCTATTTCACTATTATGTTGCCCGTTTTCTACATTTCTTATCTAATGAGCCATTTATCTATCATAACATGTCAATTACAACTAGTCTTAGGTGTCTAATGTTTTAAATCATAGCAAATTAACATTCTTCTAAGTTTTAGGACGGCTTTTACCAAAAATCGCTTATTTGACTTCTAACTTGCCCGATTTCTACATTTCTTATCTAATGAGCAATTTCTGTATCATATCATGTCAATTATAACTAGTCTTAGGTGTCTAATGTTTGAAATCATAGGAAATTAGCATTCTACTAAGTTTTAGGACGGCTTTTACCCGAAATCGCCTATTTCACTACTACGTTGCCCGATTTCTTTATTTCTTATCTAATGAGCTATTTATCTATCATAACATGTCAATTACAACAAGTCTTAGGTGTATATTGTTTGAAATCATAGCAAATTAGCATTTTACTAAGTTTTAGGACGGCTTTTACCCAAAATCGCCTATTTCACTACTACGTTGCCCGATTTCTACATTTCTTATCTAATGAGCTATTTCTTTATCATAACATGTCAATTATAACTAGTCTTAGGTGTCTAATGTTTGAAATCATAGGAAATTAGCATTCTACTAAGTTTTAGGACGGCTTTTACCCAAAATCACCTATTTCACTACTACGTTGCCCGTTTTCTACATTTCTTATCTAATGAGCTATTTATCTATCATAACATGTCAATTACAACTAGTTTTAGATGTCTGATGTTTTAAATCATAGCAAAAGATCATTTTACTCAGTTTTAGGACGGCTATTGCCCAAAATCGCCTATTCCACTTCTACTTGCCCATTTTTCACATTTTTTTTCCGTTTGGAATTTTTTTTCACAAACATTGCCCATAATACAAAGATCATTTTACTCAGTTTTAGGTGGCTGCTGCAGCGGCCTGGCTGCTGCTGCAGCTGCCAGGTGGCTGCTGCGGCTGCCTGGGCAGCTGCCTAGGCTCCTGCTGCTGCTGCTTGGAAGCTGTTGCAGTTTGGTGGCTGGCTGCTTGCAGCTGCCTGGCATAACCCGAGGCTGTTGCCTCGGGTGATGTAGTTGCCTCGGGTGCTCACTTTTCCAATTTCTACATTTCTTACCTAATGAGAAATTTCTTTATCATAACATGTCAATTATAACTAGTCTTAGGTGTCTAATGTTTGAAATCATTGCAAATTAGCATTCTACTAAGTTTTAGGACGGCTTTTACCCGAAATCGCCTATTTCACTACTACGTTGCCCGATTTCTTTATTTCTTATCTAATGAGCTATTTCTTTATCATAACATGTCAATTATAACTAGTTTTAGGTGTGTAATGTTTTAAATCATAGCAAATTAGCATTCTTCTAAGTTTTAGGACGGCTTTTACCAAAAATCGCTTATTTGACTTCTAACTTGCCCGATTTCTACATTTCTTATCTAATGAGCAATTTCTTTATCATAACATGTCAATTATAACTAGTCTTAGGTGTCTAATGTTTGAAATCATTGCAAATTAGCATTCAACTAAGTTTTAGGACGGCTTTTACCCGAAATCGCCTATTTCACTACTACGTTGCCCGATTTCTTTATTTCTTATCTAATGATCTATTTCTTTATCATAACATGTCAATTATAACTAGTTTTAGGTGTGTAATGTTTTAAATCATAGCAATGTAGCATTCTTCTAAGTTTTAGGTTGACTTTTACCAAAAATCGCTTATTTGACCTCTAACTTGCCCGATTTCTACATTTCTTATCTAATGAGCAATTTCTTTATCATAACATGTCAATTATAACTAGTCTTAGGTGTCTAATGTTTGAAATCATTGCAAATTAGCATTCTACTAAGTTTTAGGACGGCTTTTACCCGAAATCGCCTATTTCACTACTACGTTGCCCGATTTCTTTATTTCTTATCTAATGAGCTATTTATTTATCATAACATATCAATTATAACTAGTTTTAGGTGTGTAATGTTTTAAATCATAGCAAATTAGCATTCTTCTAAGATTTAGGACGACTTTTACCGAAAATCGCTTATTTGACTTCTAACTTGCCCGATTTCTACATTTCTTATCTAATGAGCAATTTCTTTATCATAACATGTCAATTATAACTAGTCTTAGGTGTTTAATGTTTGAAATAATAGGAAATTAGCATTCTACTAAGTTTTAGGACGGCTTTTACCCGAAATTGCCTATTTCACTACTACGTTGCCCGATTTCTTTATTTCTTATCTAATGAGCTATTTATCTATCATAACATGTCAATTACAACAAGTCTAATGTATTAAATCATAGCAAATTAGCATTCAACTAAGTTTAGGACGGCTTTTACCCAAAATCGCCTATTTCACTACTACTTTGCCCGATTTCTACATTTCTTATCTAATGAGCTATTTCTTTATCATAACATGTCAATTACAACTTGTCTTATGTGCCTAATGTTTGGAATCATAGCAAATTATCATTATACTTAGTTTTAGGACGACTTTTATCCGAAATCGAACCGGAAAAAAGTAAAAACAAGTACCTCCTCAATGTGTTGGGCTTCAGTGCACCTATTGACTATGTCATGCATAAACCTCATCACGTAGATGGCACAGTCAACGTCGTTGTCTTGTTGCGCACACTAAAATGACACAAAGTTAAAATAGTCATGCTGTGATAAAACTCAAGGCAATTTTATTAAATAAATCAATATATCAAGGCTTTACCTTCGCATATTTTCACGTGGGACCCGCAACCGAACGACAATTCAACTTCTTCATAACACTTCAAAAAAATATAAAACAAACGATTTAGGAACATAGCCACTCAATCACTTATGTGATGATACAAAACAATATATAGGAAGCGGTATGTACCTATTCAATAGGTTATTCACTAGCAACTTCCTTGGTGGCCATATACGAGTCGAGTCAAAGTAGTAGATTGTGTTATTGGAAACACAAATCACCATAAGGCTCCAATGTAGACTACATGTATATTAAAGCAAATATCAATCCATCAATTGTTATGCGTCAACATCTATACTTAACAAACAAATTAAGAGTGACATATTTAAACTTACTCCTCAAAACAAGGGGCTAATAAGAACTTGTTTCCCGCACGCATTGATTCTCTAATACCCCGCTCAAGGTAATCTATCACATCACGAGGGTTATGCAAGCATTTGGTTACGGAGGTCTGCTCAGGGCATAACCACCCAACTGCTGCTTCACCATCGGGTTTACTAGCAAGGAGCTCCTGTAGTGACCTTTAAGAAAGTAATGTGTGCAAGTAATTACTAGTTGCATTGTTTTGGTACGAAAATATCAAAAATACAATATGTTTAGAAATAGTCTCGTTAATTTACCTCATGAATGTTTGAATGATGGAAATGTTAAGCATGGAACCGGTTAGAAATTCTGTCACATCCTCTCTAGAAATGTATGCGATCGAATCCTCATCATAGTGGAACAATACCTTAGGCAAGTTCACTTGAATATGTGTACCCGTAGGCAACTCACTAACACGGTTGTGAAGAAAAGTACCGGCTTTCGAAAGCGACCTAAGGACTTTGGCTTCTACTAGTGGAGTACATGAAGCTCTCGAACTCTTCTTCGACACTTGTCCTTGTTCCATCTTCGGAGGACCTTCTTCCTTGGATTTTTGCTTCTCCACCTTCTTCCTTTTAGCGGACTGAATTTCCATAGTAATCTAGTAGCATAAAAAAACATGGTCATTGCACAAAGCACATGTTAATCTAGTTACATACAAGTATTGTTTACTTACCCCTCCTACCAACCTCAACCGATCACGTGGCCATCGCACAAAGCTCCCGGTCGCGTCACGCAGCTTAAAAAAAATCATATTCCTCTCTAGGCACCGGTAGTGGTAAGTCCTCAAACCCAGCAGGTTCTTGGCGTCTTTTGGTATTGAAAATAGACGCTTTAACCTTGGAATAATAGGAAGATACCACAACACCTTGGCAGGAGGTCCTTTACTACCAGCATTGCAGCTTGATCGCTTGTAACGCGACTTACCGCAACGTGGACACTCCTCCAACTCTTCATATTCATTTCGATACAGAAAACAGTCATTAGGACATGCATGTATCTTTTTATACTCCAAACCAAATGGACACATTAGTTTCTTTGCATAATAATAGGAATTAGGAAGTTCATTCCCATCTGGCAACATATCACATAACGCAGTCAACAAAGAAGTGAAACTAGTGTCACTCCAGTTATGCTTAGACTTAATGTTATATAGTGTAAGCACGGCTGAGAGTTTTGTGTATTTTTTGGACCCGGGATACAAAGGCTTTTTGGCAGCCTCTGATAATGACTCAAATACATCAGGTCGGTCACCAAATTCACCTTCAACATCACGCATCATCTCATCCAAGTGATCATCACCACCACCATCCTCGGTGTCATCCCCTTCACCACCATCATCACTCCCATTTTCTTCTTCAACATGAATCTCGGCACTTTCAACATGCGTCTCATTGCCAACAACATTCTCCCTATACGATCCCTTCTCACCATGCCAAACCCAAACATGATATTGAGGCCTTAACCCATGACATTGTACATGAGCCATGATGGTATCCACACTATTGACCCTTATGACATTATTACAATTGACACAAGGACAATAAAGGTAATTGACACCCGTTCTAAGCTGATACTGTGAAGCACTCTTGCAAAACTCTTGAACCCCATTAAAAAATTCCAATGTATCACGTCTACCATACATCCAACCGCGATCCATTGACGATTTAAATTGCCTTTAAACATACCAACACATTTCAAACAATGATAAATGTAACATATATTATGTAATCAAAGTACATAGCATATATATCATCCATAAATGGTAAAAATGAATGCTCCCAAAAGGTCCTTATCACTCCAACCTAACCCATCCTTGAACGTCTAATCTCACTAGTGAATGTATGTCAACTTTTCAATTTTTAGGAAAATCCGGCAGCATTTCCCCCCAGTTCTCCAAGTACACGATGTAGGTAATAACTTACCTACATATGTACCTAGAGAACATGGTGAGAAAATGAGAAGCCCGGATATTCCTTAAAATCGAAAGAGACATACATTCACTACCTAAGTGAGATTAAACGTCCAAGAACAGTCCCAACTGGGGACTATTCAAGACTTTCTCCTATTGAGAAAGACTCGAACGGGTATCTAGGCAAATGATGATGCAAGCATTCAATTATTATTTGCATTTATTTGACATTCAACAATAAACAAGTTCATTAATTTAAATAGGGCTAATAATTAAATTAACATACATACAAAATCAAACTAAGTTTACTTATATATATATATATATATATATATATATATATAGACACACACACACACACACACACATATATATATATATATATATATATATATATATATATATATATATATATACATATATATATATATATATCAATCCATTATATTCATATATACATTGCAATTTATTAACTACAATTTAACAAACTAAAATGTTAACTAATATATATTCTATTCATAAATTTCATTTAAAGCTACTCAAATTAAAACAATATATATATACATATGAAACTTGGATTAACTACTTGAAACCCTAACTTCAAATTTTGGAATAACAAACAATTAATACTAATTAATACATATGAAACTAAAATTTAGCAAGAACTCACCCTAATTTGAGAGTGAGAAAGACAAAGATTGAAGATTGAAGCTAGAATGCGTGTTTGGGCTCGGTTCAACACACCCTCGAACATGCACCACCACCAAGTGCACCCACGAACACCACCAGCTAACACCGGCAGCCTCGAGCAACCACCATCAACCTCCGACCAAGCAGCAGCCGCCTCGACCCACCACCAGCAGCAGCCTCAACCCACGACCCACGCACGACCCCCAAACGCAGCTTCACTTAATTAAATAGCCAAATTAAAAGAAAAATAAAAATGAATAACATTGGAGTGGTGGTGGTGGTGGCCGGAATCTGAAGAAGTGAGAAGACAGGTGAGGACGAGGGAGACAGAGAGGAGGAGTGAAGGCGGGGGAATTGAAAATTTTGGGAAGTAAATTGAATGAAACAGGGAGGAGAAGAGAGGGTGTAGTACATATTGTACATGAGCCCTTTTTTTTTTTTTTTTAAAATGGTAAGCGGTTCAGCCTTGAACTGCTTGCCAATTTAACTAATGGTAAGCGGTTCAAGGCCAAACCACTGGCCATTAGTTAAAAGGCAAGCGGTTCGCGCCAAAACCGCTTCCCATTTCACTTCCCTCTTTTTTTTTAATTAATCAAATGGGAAGCGGATTTTGTAAACCGCTTGCCTATAACCGCTTCCCATCACATTTATTCTACTAGTGTATAATTATCTTTAGGATGATAAAATTTAAAAATATGTAATTTATTGTTTGATACTTTTTAAAATGATAAGTTCACTTTTTGAGTGATACATTTACATAACAGTTTCAAGATGATATAATCACTTTTGTAGTAATATAATCACATTTCGTATGATATAATCACATTCGTATGGTATACTAGAAGGTTGGGTCTACAATAAGTTATTGTAGACCGGGTCTATTCTAGTCTTTACACTTCTTTATTCAGCTTGTTTCCACTTATTTTAGGTGTAACAAGTTTAGTAGATTTTAGATAAGTTTAGTTAAGAAAAAAAATTAAGTTCAGATAAGAGTTACACAAACAAGTACAAATCATAGCTAACATATGTTTTCATAAGTTCTACTAAGCTAAGTTAGATAAAATAAAATAAGTTTATTTAAGTGAAAATTTAGTAAATAGAACACATCCTAAGGATTGGAAAATATTTCTTAGGTTCATGATGTGTTTGTTTGTATAAGCTGTACAAAGTACGATACTTTGTAGCATTCTCCATTTCATTTTTTTCCCTAATATACTCGCTTTGTGTTTTTATTCTATTCTATTCGCTTATCATCTTTTGTTTTCAAACCCGCAATAAAATAAATATGCATTTTTGCACACTTTTGCGTATTTACAGTTCTAAATAAAACATACTTCCTCTGTTTCTATATTAGTTGACTGATATGTCTATTTTATATAATATTTTACCCCCGTCCCTTGGTCATAATTGGTAGTATTTTTAGCTATTTAGAGCCACTGTTATTACTAATTGGTGTTTTCGTAGTTTTGGTTGAGTTTTGTAGGGAATTGAACTTTTGGAGCATTTTCCCGGGATTTTATGGAACGACTACGAGCATTGAAGGAGCACGACCACTTTTCATAGCCCAGGGCTGGTAGAGTCATCGAGCCGGTGATTAAGGGCTCGACATGTGAAATATCGAGCATTGGACACCGAGTATTCAAGCCCCAAAGTGGAAATTCGAAGTGGGCTAAGAAGTGAAGCCCAATCCAAGTCCAAGCATAGCCCGACCCGATCGGGCAACCTTTGGCTCGATCGGGCGGTTGCTCAGAATCAGAGAGCGAAGAAAAAGGCGAGCCCGATCGGGCAGCCCTTTGCACGATCGGGCGCGTGTTTCTAATGGGGTGTTTTCGGCGATTTACTTAGTTCTAATTATGATTTGTTAGGAGCTTTGTATAAGGACGATTTAGTGTTTTGGTACAAGTTACCTCTTCTCTTAGACTTTCTCTCTCTATTTAGTTTTATTTTCTCTCTCTACAACTTTACACCTTGTTCTTGATTCAACTCATTATTTTCGTTAACTTTGGTAACGATTTTTTCTTTATTAATTTGAGTAATTTTATTTCTTTATTTTATCATGACTTGTGTTAATTGCTTTGATTAGTTTAGATTTAATTATGTGTGAGTAGTTTTCTTTCTAGGGTTTGTGGGGATTCATAAATAATATGAAGGGGTAATTTGTTATTGTTGATTGTCAATGCTTGATTAAATTCCTATTGATTGATTTAATGCGATGTAATTAGATTATGTCTGGTTTAATTGTATGAGTTATGTAATATTGATTTGAGATTCGAGAGATGAGAATTGATGTTCAGGCTTAGTTTCAATGGGTAGACTAATTTATAAATGGTTAAGTCGAGATTTGAGATATGAGATTTAATACCGGTAAATTAACTCTATGGTTGTAATACGTAGCGAAAGCCCTTTATGATTTGATTAATTGATGCATTAATGATTGATTGTTATGTTTTACTATTATTTATTGGTGAACCCTAAGTC